CCTGGCTTGATAGTACTCTGAATGCTATAACCTTTCCTTCCATTTAGTGTCTATCTTTATATTTTTTCTTATGATTCCTTTTTGTTTTTAAGAGATAATCATCTTTTTTTTTTAACCTTTAGTATCTTTTTCATCTTCAATAGAAACTTTTAAATGCTAAGAAATAAAAATTCAGTTAAGACATTGGTGGCTACAAAACGGGTAAACCATAATCTTAATTGATCTAATCCTAACCTTAAAGATACACCTCTGGGTTTTTTTTTGAAACTTTTGAAGCTTCTTTTTTAAATGTTTCATTTTCTTTACTTTTGATACAGGAGTGAGACATTCTGCATCTTCAGAACTGTTTCTTTTTCTGTCTCCTCTTTTGACTTCAGATAAACTGCACCATTTACCTCTTTCCCATATTTTATTTTATTTTTCTGAAGGTTGCTTTTAGGCTTCAGTAGTTTTCTACTTTGGAGTCCTCACGCGTTTTTGTCCTTTTCCTTTTACAGACACCCATATTGCTTGTGTCCACATTTAACTCTGTGGCCTGGACAGTGCCTGCCTGCCTGCCTGCCTTCCTTCCTTCCTTCCTTCTTTCCCTCCTTCTTCTCTCTCTTTCTGTCTTTTCTTTCTCTTCCTTTCTTTCCCTTGCCTTCCCCCCTCTCTTACCCCACCCCCATTTTAAAAATAATTTCATTTTATCTCAACTACATCTATGTAAAAATTAAATAACTTTAAACACATCTATTTTAAACACTAAATAAATATGTACCAGCTATTCTTTAGGCCAGAATAGGCTTATATTTTCCTGTCTTAGGAAATATGTCAAGATTTTCTTATTGCTTCTTCTAGTGGATTGTCAAAAACCTGAAATGATTGCAAAAAACCTACTTTTCCTAATACTTGCTAAATTTTTTGCTGTTTTTCTTGTTTAGGATTTGGGCCTACCTTAATAGCTTTTGCTGCTTGTCCTTTCATTTTTCTTCTATAAAGACAAATCCTTTTGGATGTCCAGAAGACTTACAACACAGAATACTTACATAAATAACATTGCTGTATTTACTAAATACTCTTTCAATCCAGCTATGATTAACATTTTTGAGAAGTAACTCCTCTAATAGATTGGAAACAGTATTAAAGATAAGGATTTAATAACTA